CCAAAGAACGATTCTCTTTTCGATCGTCGGCTCACACAAAAACCTATGTGGAGATCCTGCCGGATATAGTGACTATAGTGTTCTCACAACATGCGGAGCCCAAATCTCACCAAATTCATGTCAAAAAATTACGGGATCCCAAATTCAGATCATTCTCTCAGTCCTTGATTGTCCTTCAACCTTTCGCCCATCCACTGTGGGACCCCCGACTTCTTCAATCACAGCACTGAGCTCCTCCCTTGGGCATCGGCGGCATCGGATGCAAGAAACAAACAAAAGGAGCTGCTAAAAAAACGTAGACTTTGTCATGAAGTTCTAGTAACAAGTGCATCGCTTCTAGTAACAAGTGCCTTACTAGTAGTAACAAGAAGCTAGTAGTAACAAGTGCATCGCTTCTAGACTTTGTCATGAAGTTCTATTGTTTCCGGTGGTTTGCTCACAAATCTGTGGTCTGGCAACAGACAGCCGCCGTGGCCGCCTTGGCTCAACATATGTCATGGGCTACCAGGTGCGGTCCAGATGCTGATTGGCTCCCCGTCGGAGGGCCTGAGAAGGTCTCTTGGCGAAAGACGGGAGCTGATTTAGGGTGAACACCAGTGAAGACCCACCAAGTAATGTGTTGCTGTCGCTTTAAGAACAGGTGTATGTTATAAGTTATACACATCTTTTGAGGAATCTACCACGGCTATTCACCTCTTTCCTTTCAAACTCAAGGGGTGGCATCTTCACACAAGCTAGAAAGAAGCTGGAGTTAGTCTAGGCGCGAAAGGTAGACCAAAAGGAAAGCAATTGTGGTAGAACCGTGTTTAAAAGGAAAAACATTCACAAGGAAGGCATCGAAATTTGTCCACCCCTGTTCCCAGCTGCCTCTCGAAGGTTCTTCTATGGCCATGCCGGTGCGATCCGATGCTTCTACATGTCCAGCCTCGGCGACTTTGTCCATGTCAAAGCTAAAGACCTCCTCAATCCCATCAGTGCAGCCGTCCTTCCATCTCGAAAAGGGCAGCTCTGCCAGCGGAGAAATACTAATTGCAGAAATACAATGAAATACAGACATTCGTGTGAAAGGAAGGTGTTCTTTTTTGGTGGTTGCGCCAGAGCTCCACATAGCTCCACATAGCTCATGACAACGGATTGACATCAAAAGTCAGTAGAAGAATTCCAAACACAACAAACAACCGGACAGTGAATGATTGGGAACATGAACTCTTGCAAGCTGTGTTATGTATGATCTTTTGTTGTGCTTGAAGCCATACATATGCCTGTGCCGCGGGAATAGAAGCGGGTGCCTCTTCTTCATCATCATCAATAAAGACGAAATTCAACACATTGTGCCTACCTGGCGAAGGCTGCAAACAGCTGTCTACTTGACACTTAATAGCAATGGCCTCCAACCTAATAGCGATGGCCTCCAACCTAATAGCGATGGCCTCCAACCTAGTATGATGACTGCACATGGCTGCCAAACTAGACCAAGAGTTGCGTTTAGTGTTGCGTTTCCAGGCTTTGCGAGCCCACTCTGCTGTCTCACTCTGCTGGCTCCTATTTTCCTCAAAGGCCATAGAGATCCATAGAGTAACTTATGGCTGGCTCTAGGTGATGTATCATGATGTATTCAATCCAAGAAAAGATCGAGAACATCCTGGAGGAAATTGAAAGTACGTTGTTTTTTTCCTCTTTCCTTTTGCCTCTTCGCAGTTCCCTCGCCTAGCCGAGCCATCTCCTCAGCATCGAAGCCATAGATCGATTCGAGGCTTGGCCCTGGCCCAAGCTCGGGCAGCAAGCGGGGGACCATGCCCCATGGGTGTTTTTTTGTGTGTCTATTCCTTTCAATGGTTCAGTTTGCTTGTTCGAATGCCCAAAACGGATTGGTCGCTGGGTGGCGCCCCTGCCTTTGTGCCGTGCAGCCCTTTCTGGAACGGGGTGTTTCCATCGCTGCCCTGCACGGCCTTTCCATCCCCACAGGCCCCACGGTCGGACTCCTGCCGCGATCCCGGACATCGCCTGGATCCTTGTGCCCGGACTCGTCCTGCCGCGAGCTCGGGTGGTGAAAAACACGAGCATCTCGAGCTCTGGTGGACCAGGTGGAGACCAGGTGGAGCTCCAAGGTGTCCAACGAAGCGAAGGGTTGCAGTCGTTGTGCGAGGGTTGACAACGAAACGGTGTCCCTCCGTATTCGCTCACTCGAGGTTGGATTGGGAACGATGTGTTGACGCTGTCATCACTGGACTTCGGGTCCTCGTCATCTGAATCACCCTTGCTGAGAAGGAAACGAATCCTGTCCAAACAGATCAAGAAAGACACGCACTGCACACATCACAGATTGCACTCGCATGACATGGGAGAGTTGCTATCTTGGTCTCTTGCAAGACAACTGAAATAAAGCCCTTGATGTCAAGCCATAATCAGTTCCACCGCACTCCTCTTCGCCCAGGCTTCATTGATATCACCACTCACTGGGCTACCTGGCAGGAGGATGCAAAGAGCATGACATGAGCTCTAGTTTTGACCCACCAGCCAAGTTGATTTGTCATGAGTCATGACCTTTGACTGATTGTTTTCGCTATTGGCCTTTGCAAGCACCATCTGCCCCAATTGTGTTCCTCTACTGTCAAAACAGTGTGAAATTTCACCACTACCTTTGTTGATCAAATCCCTTGCAAATCAGGTGGAAGAAAATGCTTGAGCAAAACAGGTACCACTCACGCAGCAAACGAAATCAGGATGGCTGCAACCCGCTACAATATGTTGGACCAATTCCCTTTTATACCCACAACGCACCCTTTGGGTAAAGCATCCACTCAGCGGAATCCGGCACCGCTGCCTGGGATGGAGCAAAATTCCTCGCCGCTCTCAGCTGAGAGAAAGTCTTCGTCACCAAGACATTCAAGTAAAAAGCTCCTGTGCGTTCGTCGAAACAATCGGCAGGACGGCGCGAGGGTCTTGCGGTTTCTTTTCAGGGACATCTCCAAATAGCTGGAAAGTGCACTCTTCGCAAGCTTCAGTACACGGGAAAGCACATTCTCGCAAGCTTTCATTGGATGTATTGAGTGGTTTCCTGTGCAGAGTGTAGACGCCAATGTCGTCAAATCTAGGGACAAGCCAAAGAAAATGACATAGAGCATCTTGTTATGCTGTTCTCTTTTAGCTTTTGAGTTTTTTTTCTTTTTTTCCACGAGTACGGACGCCATGTGGGCGGAGTGCCCAGGTCATCATTGAAGTAGCTTTTGAGTTTTCGAGACCAAACCGGTGCGCTTTCCGCTCGTTTGGGCGGACACCAGGCCTCTGTGCCTGGGAGAACCTCGGTCGTGCCGATGGCGCTACTTTCGAATGCGGAGGTTGCAGGCAGCTCTTGGGGTAGACATGGGGGGTAGGTTGAAAAAACATGCTGTTCTATCGTGTCTTGAGGAGCCTAAACAAATTAGAAAGAAGGTAGACAACAAGAAACCTCAAACAACTTTTGCACAGTCTTTGGCGGTCATAACTGATGTCAAGTGGATTTTGAGCCAAGCCCCACTGTTCGGTGGGTGAGCTCAAAAGCCGAAGATCCGGACATGATCCAAGATAGCTGATGGGGCATCAGAATGACCCACCTATTCAGTGCTGCTTTTGGACCTGGACCATCCAGACCGACCTTTGAGCCCACACGACACGGTTCGGCAGCGCCTTCTCTTGCGCACGTGCGTGAGCGTTGGCTTGTGTCCGGATTCCATGGCAGCCATGGCATCAACACGATTCGTTGGCTTGATGAATCGTCTTCAAATGCGTTGGTCTTCAATGTCATCAAAGCATGAAATGGCTGGCTTCAAAGCAGCAAAAACATGTAAGTGACCACTGATCGCAGTGCCTCCAAGTTGACAATACCACAAGGTCAAGCATTTGGCTGTTGGAACTGAGACACTAAATATGGCTGCTGAAAGGATCAGGCAAAACCACCAATCTGGACAGGCTGCTGCACACTTGGGAGAGGCAATACCCTTTGCAACCTTTTAATCGGAACTGTTTCGTGCTAATCATGATAACGTCGAGATCTCAACAAACCATCATCCAGGCACAATTTGAATACGACTCACCCTCACAAATAGCGACAGCTTGTCGATCGGATTCCTCTTTCTCCGCGACTCAGCAGTCGCCTGTCGCCTCGCCGACCTTCGCCAACCACGTCAGGCTGTATAGCGGTCACCCTTGACTTGTCGCCGCTGGCCGGTGCAGACCGAACACCTACAGTACATGCCCTAGTAGCGTCCTTGTTCCTAGTAGTAAGGCCAGGAGCCCCGTTCGTAGCGTCCGATCGCTCCTAGGCTTCGCCTCGGTCGACTCACGAGGCGTGGATCGGCGACCGACGGCATCGCCACTGGACGCAGCATCTTCCTTCGCTTCGGCCTGGATGGCATTGGAACATCCTTGCTACGCAAGAGGACTGTTGCATCCTTGCAAAGAAAAAGCAATGTGTATATATATATATTATAATGTGTATATTAATACACAACAGCTCAAGCACCATTCAAGCTGAAACAGTTCAGAGAGAACCTACAAATTCCCCGCTTCAAGAACCAGCGCACTTCGGAAGGTTGGCTTCGCGCATTTTCCGGGCAGCGGCTGACTCCACTGGAGGGGTCTTTGTTCTCAAGCTAGCTACTCTGGATTAAGCCCCTCTGGGGCCCAGAACATCTTCTGTGGATTCCAACGCGGCCTGGAGTGGTTATCTGAAATTCAACCTGTCTCATCGAAACGGGCCGAGCTGTGGCAGGTGGGTCACTGATCAGTATCTACATGTATCTACATGTATCTACCCAATCCAGGCACTTTTCCAGGCGCAGATCAACCAGCGCCGTGCGAAGCAAAACTTAGCATTGGAGGTATATGGACAGTATATGGACAGCAGGGTCTATTTGTTATTACATACTGTCATAGAACTCCCCACCAGGTCATGCATCTTTCTGAAACCGCTCATGGAGCACTTCCTCATACTCTACTGCAGTCTTGCCTTAAGGACAACTGTGAGTACCACAACGCCCAATGTTTATCGTCAATACCTCCATGGGAAAAATGACTCGTGAAAGAATCTTGAGGTTTGCTGTGCAGGCCCACAGCAGATCCAACGGATTTAGATCTGCTCTCTGTCGCTGGTCACTGCTTTTGGCCAAAGGCCACAAAGTGTGACAGCGGCAATGGGCCATTGCAGCAATTTGCTGCGGTCTTGTGGCTGCAGTACCTTTTGGCATCTGCAGGCTGCAGAATAAAGCTAAGTTCAGACCGACCATCAGTCCACATGTCCAGCAACTTCGAGTATTGGCTTGCTCCCCATCAAAATGAACTGATCTTTCATTAACGGTCTCAACCTAGTGGGCCACTAAGCCCGATAGTCTGATGAGAAGAACATCAAAAGAAATCACGCATGAACGGGTGTATGAGCTCGGGGTTGTGCTGCTTCAGCTCCTGAAGTTTGCCATAGGCATAGACCCCCGCGGTGGAAAACAGCGAGGCCAAGGCCGTGAATTGGCCAATGGTCAATTCCAATCCCAAGGTCTTCACGACCAAAGCTGTATCTAGTCTCAGTCCTTGGGCAGTGAGCCAGGTTTGTCTGTGCTCCTCATGTCACGAGAATCATCCATTGATGTTTACTTAAGGTTTCGGCCAAACCCAACAGCTTTCTGAGAAACACCTTTATTGGATTCTGCTTCACCGGAAACAGTACATGATGACCTTCAGTGTTTCCCTATGTACTGCGCAATACAAGTTGGCGAAGGCAATTGCAGCAGGCACCAGAAAGGTGCCAAACAAACTGTAATGCGTGTCTTTTTCTCAAATGCCGCAGGTTAGAACCAAGCCATGGTGAGTATATTCGTGTAACGAGTGATTCCGGTGCTTGCTCTAGCTGCAACTATCCCAAAGCCTCTCTGAGGGTAGGGTAAATGTAACCAGCCTCATTGCACGTTGTTAGAACGTTCTCCCATTTAGCCTTGCCTCCTTGAAGTTCATTTTGTAGCCTGACCGTGTCGTGTGTTTAAAAACTAACACATATACATCAAATAACCCTTTGTAATTCTCTCTTGGATTTGTTTGTGCTCCTTCTACAATTCACCTGCTGGTCGTTGTTTCCTTCGAACCTGCTGGGCGGAGAAAAAACACTGCATCGAGTGGCGCTGTGCTATCGACTCCGTCAGCTCAATGGAAGCCTTGACATCCTTGATGTCCTGATCCCACCAAGCTCTTTCCTGAGGACAACGGATGAGCAACGGATGTCCAACATTTGCTAGGTATTTTCTCCACTTTCTGATCTGGGATGGTCAAACAATATAGCAAAGGGTCAGCATACACCAGTCCACAGAGCTTGGCTTTTCGACTGGTTCCAACTCTCTTCGTGAGCTCAAGAACAATCAAGCTCACTGTGTTTAGCTCTGCAAACTCAAACTACTTAGAGGGGTGACAACATCCTGCCGGCTGAGCGTCTGCCTCCAGCCTGCAAAGGTACGCACGCGACTCTGTCGCATGTCCCCACAGCAGGTCCACCGTCCGCCGGTTGTTCTGGTTGGCCCGAAGTCCAACCAGCAAAGGAGGCAACGAAAATATCAGGAAAAGCATCATGAAGATCAGTGTCTCCCCAAACAGCACCTGAGAATCTATGGCGGAAGACACAGAAAGTCTTGCCAAGCGTTCCTGAACACAGATATTTGACCAAGCGACCAAATTATACAAGCATAGACCTCAAACTGTTTGGGGAAAACTATTAGACAGTAAACAGTAAACTGTTTGGGGGCAAAAAACTTTTGTCACAGAATCCAAGTTGCTCCCGGCAACCAATTTGCCTCGTCGTTGTCGTGCCGGTCGTGCGGTTTCGTTCCACCCTGGAGATGTCGATTGGCCGTGGAGTTCCGGGAGTCTTCCACATCAACCCAGTTTGGACCGATCTTTAAGAGATCAAGAAAGAGGAACAGGCACATCAGCAGGACGTTGACAACTCCATGGCCAAATCCAACCTCCAACGCCAGCTTGCGGCGCTGAATGCTAGAGATGAAGAAGCTGTAGAGCAGGTACCAACCTGGATGGAACATGTATGAACACTGCAACTGCCTTCTGGGATGCTACTGACTACTGGGTTGGTAGCCAAACCATATCCATAGCTTGAGCAACTACATACTCCTGAAGCATAGCCGTATAGCCATCTACGCTTCGTCTTCTCATGGGTTTCATGGGAAAAGCCTCGTTCAAATGAACAGGTCACAACAACCATTTCAAGTATAGACCAGAAACTAAACATTTGCTTCCGGTCGCCCACACGTACATGAGGGAGGCACTCAGCAGTCGCAGCTTTCTTCCCCATCAGCATCACATTGAACATCCTGAAGCCGGACGTCATCTGAGAGAAGAGGTTGCGTAATTGAGTAGGATACCAAACAGCCATGAGGAAGCCATTTAGAAAGACGAAGACAATGAAGCAAGCGGCCACGATGTAGCCGCCAAAATTCTGTGGTGAGCGGTTTTCCGAGCTGTCTGAACCGTCCCGTGTCATGGCTGGAATGAGTGCAGCAGTGGTGATCAGAAAAATGCCCACCGCATACACCATACATTTCAGTATAATCCACTCTGTGCGAACAATGCCGCCTATGAGCACTTCATCCATCAGAACTGGTAGCGGCACTGCACCTTTGTGCAAGGCTCGCGCGTACTTGAAGGAGATCCTGTACGCCGCGAGGTGCTGATCAATCTTCTCTTTCTCCTCTTTCTCCTTGGGTTCTGGGTAACTCAGAAAGAGCTTCACCTCTTCAAACTGCATAATGCGGTCGAAATGTTTCTTGAACAAAGACTCATGCGCGCATTCTGTCAGGCCAATATCCAGCTGCGTCAAATCGAAAACTGTCTTGCTCCACTCTGCCGCATCTTTGGATGTGTCCCCAAGCTTTTCGATACCCCTGCGAATTTGCCACTGCCGCCACATTCGAACTGGAAACTTCAGGGGTGTACGGGAGAGTAACTGTGGGCAAATGAGGTCTCTGCAAGAGTCAATGTAATTGCAGAGTTCCACCGGTGGGTTTGCCTCCTTTTGCTCTGAGTCATACTCAGGTTTGTCAGGAGCGATCATGTTGATGCTGAAACTGAAATTACAGCTGAAGAAGTTCGGTTGCACGGTTTGAAATTTGGGCGATAGCTTCAGCTTTTCAATCTTCTTCTTTTCAGGACTGGCCTCTTCCCAGAGTTTCCATCCTTGATTATTGCGCTTTTCCCACTTTTTGTAGGCTTGCTGATAGCGGTCAGCAATTCGTTCTTGTACTGCACCACGAATCTCGCTGCGAGTGTCGATCGAGTCGTATGACTTTAGCACAGACTTGGTTGCTCGAGAAAGAATCACTCCAACCATCAGCCATCGCGGCAGGAAAACTTCAGTGAGAGGCACCCTGCGGAAATCGTTGGAGAAGCACCAAGCCAGCAATCCCATATTCAGCACGCATGAGGTCCAGTAAAAGAAGTCCCTTGCGGCAGACTCGTGCACTGAGAATCTGGAAAGCTTCTTTTCCCAAACTTTCCGAAAGTTTTGGTCCACAAGCAAACTCGAGCGCTGCTTTTTCAGCTGTGGAGCATGCGAAAAAGAGCTCCGTGTTCTCGGCTTGTTGGTGTGTTCAACAAGGCTCATTCCTGGGCTTTCACCTCCTTCAACATCGCCTTGGCTCCAACGGAGAGCTGGCGCAAACATCATGTCCTGGTTTGATATAGCAGCAGCCAGCAGCTAGAAAAATTAGAAAAGGTCAACACATTATTTGTGCATTCAGCTTCTGTGAGTGCATGTTCTGTGCAATTTCTCCATTGTATGAAATCACCACCGTGGTGAGACATTCTTTTGAACATCGCTCTTTTTCGTGCAGCCCAAGTATCCCTCCTTTGCATGCAGCCCAAGCACTGAAATCTGTGTGCCTCGAAAGGGTCATCCCCGGAGCCATGCGAGCCATGTTCATCCCTGTCGTTTCTCAAGACAGTTCATCCCTCCTACAGGGACAGGAACTCCCTCCTACAGGGACCGTTCGCCGGTACTTAAACTCATGCATAGTAGGCTGCTCAACCATGGAAATCTGGTTGGCACATGGGAGCAATCCTCCTCCCTTGTTTCAAGGTGGAGGGGCCCTGTGGAAGTCAGCGAACCTGTCGGGTAAACGACGGGACCTGCGTCACCCTGACCTCCCTAAGCTCCCCGAAACCGCCGAAGCCCAAGTGCGGAGAGGAATCACACGCCTCGTCCAGGAGCTTCGGAATCTTCAAAGGCGTTTCCAGCATCTGAAGTGGCCAAATCACCGCGCCCGGCATGTTGGCCTGTGGAGCATATTATGAGTGAAAGAACATTTAAAAAAGAAAACTCAGATTAAGCTGACCTTTCAAACCTCGTGGACTTGCATTGTATGTCACATCTATATAAAGATTAAAAATGGAAAGGTCCATCTGATAAGGTGGTGAAGGAAAGGAACAGGAGCCATGATCAAGCTCTCTATATTGGCAGATCTCTTCAGCTTCACCTGCCTGGCTCCTTCTTCTCCCACCACAAGTGCCAGCACGTTGCAAGGGTAACGTAGAAGTACACCAGAAGCAAGCTTAAGGGACTTGAAAGATTGATGAGCAAAGAGGTGATCAACCTTGACATGTTCATCTGCAGTTCATCCTGAGCCACATGCGGGCGTAGCATGTGGACATGGTGTTGGATGAGCCTTTCATATACAGATCTGCTAGGATCCAAGTCTTTGTGTGGACAACAAAAACCGCAGCCAAACGATCGTCAAGCCCTTCACTCCGTGAACTGCTAGGGATCAAACACAAAAAACTTATTCTGAAAGTGGATGCTCTTTTCGGCTCTATGAGCTCGATTTCAATCCTTTAGATGGCCCTCTTTCCCTCTCAACTCTGAGGATCGTTGCTGAACATCTCAGTCATCCTCTCGCTTATTTGTTTGCTCGCGGCGTTCTTGGTCGGGCCGTCTTTGCTCTGGTCCTTTGCGGCCTCGCTTGCGTTGCAGTTCTGGCCATTCCCGGGCTCCTCGTCTCTTTCATCTGCATTCTCGCCTATGCTAATACCCGTCCATTGACTCTCGGAATCATCTTCAGCGCCATTCGTCAAAGGCAGAGTCTCATCCTGGGCCAGTTCAAGAGGATCAACCCTACCTTCAATCCGCAGCAAAGCTGAACATATTCGGGCGTTGCTTAGGAAAGCACGCTGTGCGTGCTGTTGGATTTGCGCATAGTTCTGCGGCGCTTTACATATACTCAGGGGAAAGACTACCTGCACAATTAAAGACAGCCAGCCTGTTTGGCAGACATTCAACCAAAAGACACAGGAGATGAAAAAATCATCGGAAATCCCAATTGTGAGAACATGATGTCAAGTGTTGGCCATGGTGCAGCGACCATTTCTCCAGCTCCGAACGTTTTTGCGCCCGGAGACCCCGTGACAATCACTTGATCAAAATGACAATCTCTGAAGCCCAATGATGAGTTTGTCACATTGTGACAAGGCAAATGAAGGTATGGGAACTTCACAAGAGTTTTAATTCACAAGGAGGAGGGATTATGACGAAAATGGCCCGAATGATGTTGTTAGAAGAATCCAGCAAACCACATCTGTCGCTTTGTGCGCACTCGGCTGCCAGTTGCCCAAAACCCACTGACTCACGCTGACCGACAAGGTTATGCTAAAACAAACCACACATGAGCTGTCAGGGTGCCGGCGTTGAACCGATCGGGGTTTTGCTTGGTGCGGTTTTACTTCTTTTTCGACCACGTTTTTCAAACACCTGGGGGCTCACGCTTTGCTATCGTTTACTGTTTGGGTGTCCTGTGTTGACTCACGCTTGGGGCATCACAGCCTGTATACATCCGCCGATGGTATGGTTAGGGTTTGAAGGGTCTTCGTTGCTTGGATGTTTCTCTGTGCGGCTGTTTCTTGAGAAATACGTTTTGCTGATCCTCCTTGAAACGTTCTGTTGATCCTTAATATGTTCCTGGTGCTTGGACCTTGGATTCACTTCTCCCGCTAATTTGAGGCCACTGTGTTTTTCATGGCGTCACAGCAAAGCAAAGCAAATCGAACCACCAGAGTCACAGCATGGATTGGGAGCCATGGAGGGGCGCCTTATCAAAGCAAAGCACTTTGTTTGTTTCGCTCCAGTGTGAGATCTCCATGCGGAAGGGCCTTCCTCCCTTTCGTTCCCCTTCTAAGAGGTCCAATTATAGGATCCAGGCCCCAAAAATATCCCCAGGACTCAGGGCCAAAAACATAATGAAGACCAAAATTATGAGCTCCGGAATCCCGAACTTGAGTCTTAAAGTGGGAGACGTTCTTTTCTTTCTTTAAAAAGAAAACAAAATACTTCTTGTTATACCACGCATGCCTTTTCCAGCAAAACCCGAAGGATTGTGCTCCGCCTCCAAAATATCCGATTTCGTGGCAGGCCAGGAAAAGGAAATACCATGTGCAGATTTCGTTGCGCGGGACGGCGAGCGGCAAGCGCCTTTTCTGGCAGCCAACAAAACAAACCGCGCACCAACAACACATCATAGTTGGAACACCTCCTCCCCGAAAGTTCAAAAGCCGGCCGTTCTTCCTTCGTTTCCTTTCCTGTCCAGTCCTTTGCTTCCTTCCATAATAGATTGTTATTGATCTTGACAACTGTTTGTTTTCCTGAAAATCTTCTGAACTATACTGTTTAATAACCATTCCCACCTCAAAGATTGGGTCAACCCTGGTCTCATGCGAGTTCTTGGTGGGTCTTGCGGCGGTCTTGCGCGGGACAGTTGCTGGGTGTGGAAAACCCTGGAAGCCCAAAACACCCGGTTGCCTATACGCCCCAGCAGCCACCCGTGGTGCGGCCACAATCAGCGGCCCAAAACGAGACTAAAGCGCCATGTGAGGCCGAATCAATGAGCGCCGTGATGAGTTCAATGATGAACCACACACACACAGACAGCACCTGCTTGAACAAGGCTACCCGGCTACCCAACACACAGCTATGTCCTGCGATATGTACCATTCTGCTCCACCATTTGCCAAACAAATGTGTTGTGTTAATGTGTGTACGAAAAGAGACCTACAGCTATAATAAGTTATGGTAAAGACCTGGGTGACATCATCCAAGTGGGGGTTAGGAGCTCTAATTGACAAGTTCACACACGCTGCCAGAGGTTCTAATACAGTCAGCTGATTGCCAAGGCTCATGATTCTCTGGTGCCTTCTCTGAACCTCCACTCTGCCCACGATCCCTACCTGAATAGCACGAACAGGTTGACATGTGCACCGAGAAGCTTTGTCTTGGCTTCACAGTCAGAATGTTCTCCAAAAAAACATCTCAGCCACTCGAACCCTGCCACTTAGGTACTGGACTTGTTCTTCTTGTTCTTCTTTCCAGATTTGGCTGGAGCAACTGGCTCGTCAGCCTGCCCTTTCCCGAATTGGCTGGGCGCAACTGACATGGCACACAGGAAATCACCCGATCACCTCCTAGCACTGGAATGCAGTCTGGAGTTTGGATTAAGACTAAGGGTTGAAGGCAAAACCTCCGAAAGCAGCTACATCCAGGCATGGATAGATTGTATGATATGGAATCAACACATATCATATGGCACGTGCTCTTCTTTCTGCGTGTTCTCTTCCATGCCTCCTCAACTAGTCGGCTCTTGTCAAATTCCAGAGCCGAAACATGCGGCGGCAACGAGCTCCAACCGCTCTAACTCCATTGCTCTCATTGGTGCTGTAGAAGCCGCATGTCAACACCACAGATCACAGATCCTTCAAAAAAACAGGTGATCCCACAACTTTCCTTCAAAATTTCCTTCACCACAGATCCTTGTGGCAAAAGGTCTGGTTGTTTGTCCTTGATGTGTCTGCCACAGACCTTTTGGCCAAGGGCGACTCGCCTTCCTCACCTCTTCAGAGGGGCATAGGTTCACTCCTCCAAGGCATCAAACAAACCAGTCTGGATGCTGAAGATTGCTGAAGGTTCTTTGGTTGAATCTCACACGCGGGAGGAGGTGAAGGACCCACTGCTCTGTTGATTAGGAGGTCCATCTCTTCTAGTAAATTGTAGTATCACAGCCTCAAGGTTCAAAATCACCTAGATTTAAAACATGTTCTGAACCTCCTACTCTTCTTTACCAAAGGCCCAAAGAACAAACTCTCTGCATCTCTCGGCTGCAACCTCGGCTGCTACCGAACGCCGCCATGAGGCTGTTGCAGGCACGGCATCCTGGCAAAAAGGTTCAAATCCAAAGCTGTACATTTGGTGGTCAAGCTGCGTTGGCAACCTCACAACTTGCAAAAGTTATAACATTCACATTGACATTGATTAGAAAGTCTTAAAGTCTCAGCCACTCATGCTTCATCCTGCCACTCGTCAAACCACTGACGACTAAGAAAACAAAGACTTCAAGCTGGAGTGGAACGACGAACTTCGTTTCATGTGGTGCAAGTCCTAGTTCGATGGAAACAGTGCATCTTCATGTTGCGACCACAACCTGAGCTTGCTTTTGCTTCGAACCCAACTCAATAATGACACCAACAACAAGTTTGCTGCAAACGACAGTATGAAGATAAGTTCAATCCACTTTGGGGTAGCATGTCTGATTCGCCACCAGGTCCATCTATGTTATATAAAGCATTCCACGCTTCTGCAAGACGCACAGCACAGCTTGTCAACCAAGTATTGTCAAGTTTTGTATCCGGCTAGTATCTTGGGATAGGAAGAAACATTGGCACAAACTAGCATGTGAACAAGGTGCTTCATTGGTCAAAACGATTGAACTTTCAAACGTTGCGCAAAGTGCTGCAATTTCCGGACCCTCTTACTTCCACCATCAACTAGACCAGCAGCAACCATCAAGACCAGAAGATCCTGAACCGCATCCGATGTACCCACCGATGGTCCGACGGTCCGACGGCCACTTTCTTCGCTAGATCACTGGGTTTGTATTGAAATAGGGATTGCCCGGTGCGACATCCCAACGGATGTTGTTTGCCTGTTCCCAGAGGTCTTTGCACACCCAACTGGCCGCTGGCGACACCGGCTCGCCGAGTGGCGGCCCTTCGCCCCGTTGAACTCGATGAAAGCCGATTCGATGCAGCCGCGTGTGGAGAGGAGAGTCGCGGCTGCAGCATCCTCGCACGTTGTGAACTCGTCCAGTCGCTGTGATTTGTGCTCGTTTGCCAAATTCAGAGAAAATACTGCAAGTCTTGTTGCTTCTTCTCGGTTGATAAAGGCAACTGATTCTATCGGTTGCTTTTGTTTGCAACAAAAGGCACGCAGCTTTGAGGAGCCGACATCGTACACCGACACTGCCGTGGCGCACAACCCGTCCGTGGCGCACAACCCGTCGGCGCGTGGCGTTTCTACCAGAGTGGCCGCTTTGCCCAAGCACCCTTGAGCCACTTGCCGGAGGATGACGGCTGGTAGTTCCAAGCGTTGCTTGCGCAAGTGCCGTCAACATAGGCTGCTCCCCCAACTGCATAGTATTTGGATAGTTGCAGGTGCTTCTTTTCTCAAACAGCACCATCTATGGTCTTACACTGACACATCAGAATATGTCCATTCCCACAAAGCTACTAGGTAGGAGGCCATCGCTACTAGGGTGGAGGCCTTCACTATTCGGTTGGAGGCCATTGCTGTTCCTCTTAGAAGCATCTCCACCATAGACCATCCGTCTGACCGTCTGGATCCATGTCATCCGGTCGACGTTGCGCCTCGGACGGCATGCTTGGGTGGGCGACAACTGACCCAACGACGGTAGGTCTTCTCCAAATCCCAGACGTGCAGTGCCAGCTCCTCCAGTGACAAGTCCAACTCCGCCAGCAGGTGCCATCTACAGAGACACATTTGACATGAAAAAAGCACATGTTTCACTGGTGTTTGGGGCATGTGCTGGTGTCCTCCTTGGTTGCCATGGCTGCACGTTCACGTTCGCCCCAAACACTATCATCTCCTGGCAAACAAAGCCAAAAGCATCACCAAACACTACAAGTGATCCAATGCGCAAGTGAGTAACAAATTTCCCCATAAGTTTGAAGTGCAAGAACTACGTACTAAAACATACTAAAGCTGCACAGAATCTCAGCAATTCAGAAGAGAAAATAGGGCCATTCCCTGCGAGAAGGTCTCTGCTTGCACCTATCTGTATCCAGTTTAAGAATTTCTAGTTACATTGCAGTTGAACCTGGACTGGAGATCATGGAAAACCATGGAAAACCACAACTTTCCTTTTGCCATAGCTCAGCATGCCCTGCATGCCCTGCAGCTGTCGTGGGTGGCGTGCTCCTTCCAGCGCTCCTTCCAGCGCGGTGCCACTCTCAATGAGCGGACTGAGTCTGGCTTCGTCCGCCCGAGACCGGCCGCGCACCTGAGGTCCGGTCCAGGTGGAGTGGACCACACCGAAAAAAATCAATGGTACCTATATAGTACTATAAGTAGTGTATGTGTATATAATATAAGTAGTGTATGTATAGTAGTTAAGATAAGATAGGGTTTTTGGGGTTTTGGAGATCATACGACTTGGTGCGGACGGCGTTGAAAGAGAGTTTGGCCCCTGAGTCCTTTGAGCCGTTGGTGGGTTTTGGGATGTACAGAATCCGTTGGTTGGCTGATGTTAGCTGCTATGTTAACTGCAGGGACGAACCGCCCAGATCCTTCGATCGGTCTCCGATCGGTCTCTTTCCCTCGAGCACCCGCACCCATCGGCTCACTCGCTGAGCCCAGGTGGAGGCATCCAATTGCCGTGCAAGGCGTGGACTGGCGGAGCGGCGACGTTTTCGGAACAGGGGACCTCGGGACCTCGCTGGCCTTTTTGATGGTTGTATAGTGGGGGACACTGGGGACACTCATACCCTGGCATATGTGAAGGCTTAGTGTAGGCCTTGCAGGCTTCAAGGTCTCTTTCGCGTTTCGTTCGACAAGCTACATCAAGCTACGGAGGTGCCTGTGGATGGCAAAGTCCATGAGGATCGCCACGAGAAAGAAGGCGACGCCCTGGTTTCGTCACGTTGAAACGATCAGCTTCTTGATCGGCAAAGTCGGCAAAGTGAAATGGGCAGAACAAGAAATGAAAAGAAACCGAATGAACTGAGATGAACGGTTGTGGCTGTCGTTGCGGCTGCTGCTGCTGCTGCTGCTGCTGGAGCGTGTTTGTTTGCAACATTTGCAACCCCCAGGCTAAAGTGCTCACAAATTCATCAGATCCCAACGAACATCCCAAGACATCCCAAGCAAAGCAGCACTCTGACTCTATATAAACCGTAATCTAAGTCTTTGCGCTTCTCAGTTCTCAGTTGAAAATATCAGGGGGCATGGCTTGATGCAGTGCCCGCCAGCTGTTTCAGATGTTTTTCCCAAGAAATCTCCTCCACCGTGAGGTATAAGAGCGGTTCGCCTGAGCGGTTCAGCTGTGATGCCGCATGAGGGAACAGCAGGAGCCCAGGAGAACTGAATCTGTTGATCGCTCCAACTGAACATGGTGATAAAGCAAACATTTCAACTCAGAGCGCCCTAGCCCGGTCGTGTCAATACTAAGTGCTTTTATGCCACCTCCTCCAAAGAGGGGTATGGGATCAAAATAAAAATAAAAATAGAATCAAAAAAATATTCAACGGGGATCAATAAAGAAATAAACAGGTCATCAAAAAAAATATTCTAGCCCACTGAGGATGGTTGGGGTAGTAGTAGTAGTAGTAGTAGTAGTAGCAGTAGCAGTAGCAGTAGCAGCAGCAGCAGGAGAAGGAGGAGGAGTAGGAGGAGGAGTAGTAGTAGTAGTAGTAGTGGTAGCAGTAGCAGTAGTGCCTACTTTCTTCCCAGGGAGCTGCCTCTAGTAGAAAGCAATCAAGCCTCTATTTGCGCAAGCAGGGGACCAGGAGATCGACAGACGAGCGCCGTAGGAGAGCAAAAGACCAGCGGACCAGGAGACAGAAGGACTAGGACACCAGGGGACCAGCGAACCACAGGACCCGCGGACCAGGAGACCGGAGGACTAGGGGACCAGTGGACTAAAGGACCGGGACCAAAGGACCAGTGGACCAGAGGACCAAGGGACCAAAGGACCAAGGGACCACATTACCAGAGGACCCGCAGACCACAAGGCCAGGAGAGCAGCAGAAGAGGCCTATCAAGGAATATAGGAATATGTACCCAGAAGTCAAAAAGATCCCAAGAGCGCAAAAAGCTGCACGCAGGCTTTTTCGAATGCGCTTTGGTTGATGCTGGGGTCCTCCCCCAGACCCTGTATCATTTAGTCTGTTTCAAACTGCCCTGGACTTCGCCAGGGGGACAAGGGTGTGTCAGGCAGTAGGATTCGCCCGTCGCTGCCAAAACACCCGAATGTCCCCTGGTCTCCCAGGGCCAACAGCCTGTCGAGGTGCCAGGGGACAGGGTCGGGAGGACAGCCCACCGGAGCTCCGTGGTCTCCGCAGCATCGTCCTCGTAGTCCGCCGACAAGATCTCCTGCCGGATGTGGACCCTGCAGACGGAAGGGACCTCATCCGCAAAGGTCCGCTCTTCCTCGGTGCAAGTCCCATCAATGGAGTGTGACAGCTTGAAGTGCCTCTCCGCTTCAGGGTCCATACCAGTCGCCGCAGGGCCAGGGGCACCTGGGGTGGACCGGACGGGAGCAGCTCGTCGCCAGACTGGCCTGCCCGCCTCGTAGAACAGGGTCCAGGTCTCGTCCCCCACCTCCATGATGGACGTAGGTCGCTGGTACTCGACGGCTTGGTCATGCTTGCAGGTCCAACACCGGGAGGCATTATCAGGCCAGGGCGTCATGCATTTGCAGCGCATGGAGTGGAAGGGCATGTCACCTGCGGGTAGGTGGAGGCCTTTCTGGTCAGTCAGGCCGGACTTGTCGGTGGTCTTCTGGTACCGTTGGGTCCAAATCTTCTCCTGCATGGCCAGAGCCCGCAGGGGGATGTACTGCTCGATGATGCTGGTGACCACCGGTGTGGAAAGAGGGTAGCCTGTGAACTGGTCAAAGAGCTGAACCATCTCCTTCTCTGTGCACGAGGGCTGCGGAGCCGGCCTCTTGCTCGGTCGCGGAGGCTCCGGTGCCTGGGCCTTTGCCGGGGGCGTAGAAGGCAAAGAAGCCGCCGCCATGGCATCTACCGGATCACTAAAATACCCTGCCGGTGCAGGGGGCGTGAAACCTAAGCCCGCTCGCTCAGTGATGTCCTCTTCCATCTGGTCGGCAGGTGCCGCCGGGCGTGGCTCCGCCGCAACAGGCCAGGCCAAAGGTGGTTCCGCCAGGGTCGTCAAAAGTGTGGGCTGGGCCGCCGCCGATGGTGTAGTAGGGCTCGTCGTCAAGGCCGCCGCTGCCGTAGGTGCCACCCCCTCCACCTCTGGGCCAGAGGCACCAGGAGCAGAGGGGGGTTGGCCAGCGCCGCCATCGGCCGGGTCCTCTAACCCCAGGAGGTCCACACCCATGTCCGCATCTTCACGTTCCGCAATCTGGACCTTGAGTGCTTCCAGGTGGCGCTCCAACTCCCGGATCTGCGCCTGAGCATCCAGCTCAGAAGCCAAAACGGGCTGTCCAAAAATGGCGAGGCCCCTTGCTCCTTCCGCCTCCGCATGCCGGAGGGCTGCAGACGCAGCATCAGCTGCCTGATCCAAACTCTCCATGCCCGGGCTACTGATTGTAGTCCCATCCTCAACGTCTGGTTGGGCATCTCGCACTGACTCAATCATGACATACTCCGGTTCCATTGGGTGCGCCATTGCGTCGTCGTCAACAAGAACCAATGTACTAGGGAGTTTTCTTCCAACCTTCAGGTGCAATCCTGTGGATGATTGCCACCAGCTTGAGCCAAAATGTCCCGGTGGGACATTTTGTGAACTTCAGTGAACATAAAACTTGCATCCGCAAGCTACCTGCAAGTGTGAATATGTTTTTTTAATTTGCTTTTTTTTTGATCCCTTTTTTTTTGATGCTCTTTTTATTTTTTGTTGATACCTATGCCTCCAAAGAGGTACATGAACCATGTCGGAACCACACGTTCTGCCCTTGGGCTCCAGACCACACCATTCGTAGGCGAAGGGCTTCAGACTCACGTGTGGCACACCAGCACCACCACCCACTGCCTCCAGAAACAACTGTTGAAGCAACTAAAGGTCGGAAGAGTGGGATTAAGTATCATTCTTATGCATCTATTTAAAGGTCTGTTGATGCAACAAACCATCTATTATATCATCTGCATGATGTGCCGATTCACTGCTGGGCTCTTGGAGATGTGCTCACTGGCCTGTTGACCGGAATCGCGGAGGGGTGAGCTCTCTCTAGAGGGTGAGCGCTTCGGTAGAGCGTCGTGGTCATCTATGCCGGTGGTCCTTTGGAGATCTGAAATCCGACGGACATGCAGCCTATCATCGCTTCGATTCGAGCCAGCAGCCTGAAGAGCATCCATTGCACCTTCTGGAATGACCTCACATGTCTGAAGGCTTGACTGTTCAGCGCCCCTCACCCACCAGCCCCACCCCGGTCATTGACAATGTCTGGGAGATGAAAAAAACCAAAACCCTCGTCCCTTCACCCAAAACCACCTCTGAACCGAATAAAAGACGGTCACGAAGAGAACGAATACCTTGTAATCTATAGAATGGAAGAATGAGAAAGGTCCCTTGGTCAAAGAAGCTGGGTGACAGGAGAAATGGCGATGTTCCACCAAGAAGCTACTCAGTTTGCATGTGCGAATCTAGTAACATCCTCTTGTTGATCCTGGCTTCACCAACGCACCTCTGTCATAGATCTATGACGCAGTGCTAGACCTCTGGAGTAATGCAATTCACAGATTACTCTATTTATTCTATTGCTACATCAAAACTCTTTCCTCGTACTATTTGTTTTGACCGATTGGTCCACGTGCAAACCATGTGATGTGCCCGTATAAGTCACCCCGACTTGCTAAGCAATTGGTGTTTCATTGATATAGTTAGGGAAACGGAGGGGTCTTAAAACCTTGAAGATGTTGATCTTCCCACATCATCCTCGGTTCCTGCTTGTACCCCTACCTACCCCCTGGCCCCCGTCACTGCTTAGCGCCACAAGAGTGGTGGATTCTTTTGGGTCGTTCACTTCTGGAAGACGAAGAGAGTGTCGCAAGTCGAAATCGCAAAGAGTCCCGGCCCAGCACTGATTGCACCATGGATGAAGCCAGAGCCCAAGTGTCTCACCTCACTCAAGAGTCCGTTTCGGACAGTCATGTTGGCCGTCCTCTTCAGGTTCGGGAACTCGACCTCTGGTCCCAAGATCCAATGTAAGTTTCCATCGGCTCGACCAACCAAGACTTGCCCAGAGCCATCAATCAGCGGCGCGCTCCAATGCGCAGGGTAGCAAACCAGTTGGATGCCTTCCAGCACCCGCGCGGGAAACCCTTCGAAGTCGCCCACGGCCATACCGATGGGGCCACCGTCATAGGGTGCCACCGGATAGCGCCAGAGCTGAGCACCGGTCAAAGCATCCAAGGCCAAGACTTCACCGCGTAACGCGCGGCCAACGTGATGAAATAAATCCATAAAGCTCCCGGGCGTCACCACGAGTGCCAATTGGTCAAAACCCGCCAAATGCCCTACTGCGGGATAGCTGTTGCAAGGCATCTCTAAGAACTTGGACCAAACTTCCGTGCCATTGGACAAATAGAAGGCTCGGACGACGCCAGGAGTTCCTTCGTCGCCGGTGAAATGGCCGAAATTGCTGCAAGAGTACACCATGGTCTCGCTTAAGGCTACTCCGCCATCTCCAAAGGATTTGTTGGATTCTGCCAAGACCTTCCAGATCTCCTCGCCCGTGGTCAAATTCAAGCGATACACTCCACCCGTCCAGTCCATGAAGACCACACTGCCATCTGCTGGGAAGAGCGGTGCGAAGTTCCACACGGGCACCTCCGGCGTGTACTGCCAGATCCTTGAGCCGTTGGACACGTGAAGACCGAAGATCCTCTCGTTGCCGCCGTCCGTGGGCGCCTTCCAACTCCTCACGTTTCGTTTCGGTCGTTTGGCACAACAAAAAAGAAAGCCAAACCGGTGTGGAAGATGAGCAAGAGGGGAAGCGTGACGAATCAACACCCAACATTTGAGAGAAAGAAGCACATGTCTGTGTTTGTTTTTCTCGGGAAAGGCATCATCCCAAACAGAAGAACAAAGGGTTAACCCAAAAAAAGCTGCGAAGCAGAACCAGGGACAAAGAAAGCAGAACTGAGTTTCCACTCAAATCTCCACATCATTATATAAATCCAAAAAACAATGATATCCAACAAAAAACAATCCATACAACTAAGACAATTCCTTCTGAGACGCTTGTGTGCGCTGACTACGAAGATGCCCTCGTGCGCATTGGGATATCCCGCATCGCCCCCCGCATCGTCCGCCAGCGCGGCGATCCACCGGACATGTCCGGTGAGGCGCTCCACGGCGAAGGCGTTGCCCTGCTGGGTGGAGCCCAGTACCAGGTCGTCCACGAGGAGGGGCTCGTTGTTGGAAACGCCTGACTCAGAAAGAAAAGAAATTCCAGACATTCCGCTTTTATCATAAATTGTTGCTTTGGAAGACCTTCATCTGAGTTCAATCATGTTCAATCCATCTTGGCTCGATCATTCTAATCAATTCTGTGATTAGACTAGATGAATTTAATGTCTATGTTAAAGTGGTCATGCTACAGGATAGGTAGTGGAGCATGGTGGAGCCCCAACAGTTTGACCATGTTTGACGATGCTCTGCAGTGGCCTGGTGTCTCGTAGTGCCAAATCTGCTTGCCATTCTTATTGAAGGCGAAGATCCCTTTGTACGTCATCTGGAAGAGATTCTCATCTACATCAATGACTGCACCAGCAGCAAACATATTCATATACTGGCCAAGTGGATCTTTATAAGTCCAACGGAGAGAATGATTCATGAAGCTTTCAGGTGTCCATCCGGAGTGTGGTACCTCACTCACTGGACCTCGAGCATGTGGCCAAGGGCTGCTCTTCAAGGGCTGTGTCTCAGTGCGCAACTGCAGAAAGTCCGCACTGAGTACCCCATGACTGTCGCACTGAGCCTCACTAGGACTGTGACTGTCACACTCCTTCTCCTCAGCTAGGCCACAATTGAGCCAGGCTAGGATCAGCAACCAGGCGCCAGCGCGATCAGCAACCATCGCCCTTCCAACCCGCGGAGATGTCCAGATTTGTTCACATGGAAGCTCGAGCAAAGTGAAGGTTTGCAGATCATGTTGCAGATCAGATTTTAAGGACAATATAGGATGTCAAAGGTATTCAAAGGTAACGGTTTTGGTCACCAGTGGGCTGTGAGATAACAACCACTTGCTACTGGGGAAGGCCTCTCTGAGAAAATCTCAGCAGCCGGACCGCTTGCAAATTTGCCACCATCGCGATGGCGAAGAGTGCCTCGTGGAGTGACTGGTGCGTCAAACTTGATACTCACGAGTCACAACTCTCGCTACTAGGTTGGAGGCCAACGAACGCTACTAGGTTGGAGGCCATCGCTAGCAGGTCGAAGGCCATCGCTCTTAGGTTGGAGGCCATCGCTAGTAGGTTGGAGGCCATGGCTTTTAGTGTGGGGCACTCGTGGGACCAAAACAGATTGGGACGTCAATGACTCCGGAATTCGCAGAATTACCGATCTCAGTGAGATGCCGGCACCTGCAAAAAACATGCTCGAATTCGTCCCGAAGAGCTAGTCGGCCCCTACCTCTGCAGTGTGTTGTCAATGTTTTCATTTGGTTAATACCGCGTGCTCGGTAAGACCTCAGAATTCACAAACCACCTTGAGAGGTCGTTGTTTAACCTGTGCCTCAGTGCACCAAACTGCAGTGGCACTAGCACTCCTTCCTGGGGCATCATCCCCAACAAGGCGTTGAAATGGTCCGCAGCAATTAGTGGCAGTAACACCCTTGAGGAACCTGTATGGAACCTCAGGATCTGCTATCAAGAAGATGCTCAATGCATCTCGATGCATCAATAACGGACTAGATAGGTACTTTTGACCTAAGCCCACTTGCAGTTTTTGCAACTCTTGGTCCATCAGTACAGCTTCATTGCCACCTGTGCACCGCCTTCTATTGCACTATCTGAACAGCTCACTTAATTACTTCTCGGTTACAAAGACCCCACGCCGCACCGATTGTACCAAACCTTTAATATCCAGTCATCAACCTCATCTTCTTCACGTACACGATTTGACCGTTTTCCACTGCCCAAGTGCCCAGCCTGGTACACGCAGACCGTCGGCACCATGCGGAACAGGGGGCCCAAGATACGATCTGCCGTCCTAGCGGCGCGAGCGCAGACGCCAGCGCGGTTTCCTGGTGTCCGTGACTTTCTCTGGCCAGTCGACGAGGGCTTCCGGAGCAAGTAGAACATAGTGGAAGGGTTGATTGGCAGTTTCAGTCAATGGGCTTCATCAGGTTTGTGCAAGTTTTGTCTAATGAGTCTAATGCTCTACCTGGGGTTGGTGAAGCAAACCCGTCTCCGCAGTCCGTGATCACCCGAAAGCTATGGACGGACTCACTGGAATTCACCAAATAATTACTTCATCTGCGAGATAAAGCAAGAAGCACCAACAATGTGCACAACATTGTACAATAATTAAAAACCCCTCATTATCACGCTCCAACTTCATTTTTTGGAGGGTGCCCTGAAATGAGTCATCACATGTCATGACCATGACAGTCGTTCCACCCAGTTGCCTGGCGCCCGGCGAACGGCAATTGCCTTCCGGATGCGCCTCCGGTGGATCAAAGCAAGTGGATCAAAGAAGATAAAGAAGCAGAGACAGTTGGCATCGGCAGGTCTTGCCATTCGGAACAACTTGGTGTGAATCTTCCAGCAAATCGCATGCATGTTGAGACGGAGGGGGGGACTTTGACTTGCATGCTGACGAACGAAGGATTCCTGTTGGATTTGTCGCTATGGCAACAGCTGTGACCTTCCAAAAGCCAGAACTGTCAAAACCAGGTGAACGTGAAGCCGACCTTCAGAACTGTCAAAAGAGAACCTCAGGCGTTTGATGAATGTTGCTCCTCCTTTGTCAGGGCATGGATGTGGTCCACCCAACATATATATACACTCCTTTCGATCTCCAGCTCGCAGGTTGGCCCGCAGATTCCTTGAAAGCTCACGTCATTTGCCAAGCTCAAGTCGACGAACTCCCTCCTCCATCTAGTCCGACTGGCTCAAAAATGGCTGTCTTTTTGCGAAAGATGTCCTTGGTCGGTCGATTTGGTACCGTATGCCTATTGTTGTTCACCTGAGGGTAGCCACTCTATTCATCAAACAACCACTAGGCCATACGGCCATACTATGCTGACTACACCTCTGTGCGACACCTTGGCTTGCCCATGGTGCCTCGGTGGGATAGTCACAGGCTGAGGGATATTGGGCTGTCGGATCGTAGTTGATGATGGCCAGGACGAAGAGAACCTCAGAGGCGGTTCTGAAGTTCACACAGTAAAAGCCTGCGATTGGAGACAGAGTTCAAAAGGAATTAGACAGTTGGTGTTGTATAAGTTAAGTTGCTTTATAATCGGCGTGTCCTCTTGTTTTACTGGTGTGACATCTAATGGACAAGAATTGTGACTTTGCCATTATCTTGGACTGGATGTGTAAATTCGTTGTTCAAGAGCAAGCGTAGAAAGCCGATCGAAAGTTGTCCTGCTCACCATCTCTGGGTATCCCGACGGTGGAGAGCACGATGGCACCCACTAGGCAAAAGCTCAGGATGGTATTTGAGGCCTTCGCGTGTATTTGACATGCTTTGAATTTGTCCTTCAGCTTCCGTACCAAATGCAAATTGGCTTTCCAATCACCCCTGAGTTCTATCCTCTCTTTTCTAAGACCAAGAGGATACATCAGCAGAATGAAGGGACAAGCTGCAATACGAGTGAACAAACATTTGTTCACATGAGACAAGGCCCAGACCCTCGAATGATCCTTGAAGAGGAAGGACACCTGATTGAGCTAGGCTTCGCTTGCTCGTTCGCTTTCTGTCACCCCATGCTTGCTTTGAGTCTTTTGCCCAGGGTGCAAGTGGTGATTATCTTCAACACTTGAACGCTACCTGAAGGCCCTCTTGTGCATCGGAAGGAAGATTGGCCATGGCTATTGGCAAAATTTGAGCCTCTATATTGTGAATCTGTATGATCTGTTCCACACGAAATAGGATATATTCCCGAAGAAAAAACAACACTTCCAAGGAAGAGGGAACAGCTCTGAGAAGTGGGAACAGCGCCGGACCTCGCTTCTTCGATCTATCGCACCAAACCGATCCACCGGGCCGAAGGGCAATGTAGGAGAAGCCCGCGATCGCTGGACCTGGGCGATCCAAGAGCTACGGAGCTAAGAGCTTGGGGGGGGGGCGGAGGATCAAGGAGGAGAAGGATCTGGTTCTGGCTGGGAGATCCATCCATTCTGATCACCTATCCAGTTCGCGTTCCGCAGCGACAAAGCACTCGGCTGCAGTTTTGAGTGCCGGTCCGGTTCTTTTTTTCCGGACAACGCTCGTTCCGCTGCTGGGGGTCCGAGCCAAAGGCGGCCAGGACACAGATCAAAGCTTTCCCACAATCGCCTTTCAACAAGGTATGATACCTCGCGTGGCTCGCGCATGAAAAGGGCTGGCACTTGAAGCCGGCGCCGTTGGCACCCTGAATTGCCAAACAAGAGACATAGAGAAACAAAGATGGTCTCTCAAGATAATAACACAAATGATGCCGAGAATCACTCGGACTTTCTGATACCTACCATCGCGATCGCAAGCTTTCTGACCTCTGTCCGAGTGTGTCACCCGAAGGATTGCAATGCCAATGGCACGGAGATCGCTGGCAGCACATAGAGCGCCAAGTCCTCGGAGCAGTTCACTGAGGACGCAGGGCTGGCCGGGCGGGCATGGGGAGCACTGCACTGGACTTATACAGCTCGCACTGCACTGAGTTGTATGCACCGAACCTAATAGCAAATGGCCCTCCAACCTACTACACTTGGTCAAAAGGCAGAGAAGTTCGCCAAGCTTCGTAAATCAAGTTCGCCAGCCAATATGCCAAATGAGAGGCCCCACTGAGGGCCTGGTGGCTTCAATGCTGAGGTGAAGAAAGCTTTGCCAAGCGGCACGAGCCAGGGATTTGAGGGTCACTCATGGCAACAGCCAAACTGTTACCTTGAAGAATTCCGCTGAAAAAGAAAGCAGAAAGCAGACAAATCAAGCACGATTCTACGGGCTCAATACTCTCATGCAGCTCTTCTTTTGTTTTACTCTGAGCCTCTTTTTTAGCCTCTCTATATTGGAGGCCATTGCTCTTCGGTTGGAGGCCATCGCTTTGTTTTCACCGGTGCCTGAAGCTGCCGGGCGCCACTGCTGCGCTCCTTGCGTGACTTCATGTCGTCCGCCCGGCACACGGCTCAAATGGGCCGGGCATCCTTGAACTCTTCCAGGACTTACTCACCTTCTGGCCTTCTGGATTCGATACTACTGGTAACAAGGTTCGCTACGAACGTAACAAAGGGCATCGCTACGAACGGAGCGATCGGATGCTGGCCTTACGACTAGGAACAAGAAGCTACTAGGCTACTAGGGATCAGGAACACATGCGATCGATGTGACAGCACCCACTGTTTTACAAAGCGCCAGTGGCTTTGAATCACACCCAACGCACAAAGCATCACCAAGCATGTGGAACTTGCGCTTTCCTTTCTTGCCCTCAACGTCAACCTCCACACTGACTCTTCCTCCTCACATCTCTTTCCCCTCGCTATCTCACCTTGACCAGGTAGTGAGTGATGCCTGCTGGAATGAAAGAGAGGCAAAAGGTGATGTAGACCGAGAGCATGAAGCCCTGCCACACGTGCCGCGTGCCACGAAAACATCTGGAGGACCACCGGAGCAACGATCAACGTGACACGACGATCCGTACGGCGTGACACGGTCCGCTGCGGATCACCATCGCTTTGGGGCTCCAAGCCGCAAAGCGCTCCAAGGTGACCTGCTCATCCTGGAGAACACGTGAAGAGAAAAGGATAAATATGGCAATTTTGATTTGAATGCAAGTAAATAATACCAATGGCCTTCAACCTAATAGCGATGGCCTCCAACCTAATAGCAATGGCCTCCAACCTAATAGCGATGGCCTCCAAGCTAATAGCGATGGCCTCCAACCTAATAGCAATGGCCTCCAACCTAGAAGCGATGGCCTCCAACC